CATACATCCAATCAAATGAGCTACGCTTACCGGAGAGAGGAGAATTATTACGAGCCGAAGTAACAAGGTTGACAATAGACTCCCATTGAGCACTGGTCAGACCGGAAATAGTCGCTCGGTCCGACTCGCTTAGAGTCAACCCCTCGGCTGGGACGAGACCTCCAGACGAGCCGTTAGGATTGTGGAAAACGGTGGGACCGCCGCTAAATGCCGCATTAGCTCGTGCTTGTCCGGTCCTCCCGCCACGCTTGTCGTTACTCGTGCGGCCACCACCTTTGCTGGAACCACCACCGCGCCCGCTCCCCGTTCCCCACCATTCTGGATAGCCAATGACCTCAAAACACTTCGCAGCAACATGTCCCGTCTTGCCACAGCTAGAACAAGTAAGATTTTTCGTCGAGCGGCCGCCGGCGGCAACACCATGATCCGCCATGACGGCTGCTGCAAGTGGGGGCCCAGAAGCAGCACCTAAGACGCCAGAGACATTAGCTTTTACCGCAAAGCTGGAGGTGTCAATAGGGGATTGGTTGTGAAGGGTTGTACGCATACGTTCCTCCCGAATCATCATAGCGTAAACACGATTGAGGTTTGGCATAGGATCAAGAGCGAGGACGTGCGAGCGTGTCGGGCCATAGAGATCGCCATCGAGACCCATCAGGAATTGATGAACCTTCGCCTCTTCTCGTTGTTGATCCCATTCAGTCTGAAGTCCGCACGTGCACTTGCCGCAACGGCACATAGGAGAGCGCTCATAGCCCGCATGTTCGTCCCAAAGTTTTGTCATCTGACCATAGTAATTCTCAATGCTGCTTCCTGCCTGCCTGCACCCGGACAAATCAAGTTTGAGTTGCTGAATTCGGGGCCCGTTGACCATGGTGTAACGTTCACGAAGCGCAAGCCATAAATCATGAACGTAATCAGGTTGAGAGATTGTCGATCGAACCATTGGATCGATAGTATTCATAACCCAGCACAACAGAAGGTGATTGTTAGCGAGCCAATCCTCATATAGGTCCGACCCGGGCTGAGGACGTGAAATAGAGCCATCGAGAAAACCGAATTTCTTCCGAGCGCCGAGGGCCGTGCGTAAGCTCCTAGCCCATTCCTCATAATTGGTGTCGCCTTTTAATTGG